CACCTAACTCAACGGGATCTCTCCCAGGTCAATCCCTATACCCTGGGGTCATCCATTGCTTCCCAAGGGTGAGTAGAGTGTAGATGGGTCCTGAAGGCTTGGGGTGGGAGGCACAGTCTCTTGGAAGTTTTTCCTGCCAAATAATTGGGAGGGGAGAGGCGAAGACTGGGAAGCGCTGAGAACCTAGCGCAGCAGAAATCTCCCCACCTCCACCCCTACCTCCTCACCCACAGGACCATCTATCCCCCAGTCGCCATTATAGGGCAACCAGTTTTTTCTCCTCCGGCAAACTGGGTGCAGGGTTTGTTCTTCTGAGGCCCCAGTGTTCACGGCTGGAGTCAGCACAGTAAAGATTTGGGTGAAAACTGCCTGGACGAGGGCCACTAAAAACATCCTTTCTTTCACTAACATTCTCCCAATCTCCCTTAAAATATTTGACATTTCCTAGAACCGTAGCAGACATGAGTAGCAGCACTCTCAGTGTTGGTTTCATCACCTCTGACTCCGTCCCCTCCTCACCCACCCCAGGGGGCACTGGATATTTGGATCTCATCGGTACCTCCTTGGGGAGGACAGGAAACAGGCACCCTCGCCCTTCCCCGTCGCTGCTGGGTCTAGATTCAGAGCCAAAAGAGCAGTTGGGACCACCAGGCTCCCCGGGGCCCTGATTCCGGTGAAGGTGGTGACTTACACCTGCCATCACTTTACAGCCAGTTCTAGGGAACGGAGGAACTGCCAGCTGCTCTCTGGCCCAGAACCAGGAGGCCACAGTGAGGATGTGAGTTAATGTCTTCCTGGAGCCCCGCTGTGTGCCCAGCTCTGTGCCAGGCTGAGCTGTGAGGGAGAAGGGGAGGAGGTCCTGGGGGCTTCCACACAGCCTGAGAGGCTGGGAGGAGAGCCTTATGGGCAGAACAGTCAGGGAAGGCTCCCTGGGGGGAGGATTTGAATGCCATGTGAGCACTTGGCCTTGAAGGCTGGAGCTGAGCCAAATTCTCCAAAGTAGTGTCCACCTAAGGGAGGGACCTGGCTTTGCCTCATTGGACAGACTTTAGCTCCAGGCCTAGAAAGAGCCTACCTAGAGGGCCCTACTTTGGAAACTAACTTTTACCAAGTGCATGTGCCAGACTTCAGGCCGAGCACTTTACAAGATCGTCTCTTAATCCTCATGGCAACACTGTTAGGTAAGTGATAGTTTATAGATGAAGACACTGAGGCACAAAGAGGTTAAGTAATGGCCCCAGGTCATACGAAAAGTTAAAAAGCAGAGCCAAGCTTTGAACCTAGATGACCTGCCTACACTTTACATCTACCATTGAGACCTGCTTTGTGCCAGACACCTTACATATTTTATGTCGTTCACATGAGGAAAACAGTCGTCATTCTCCCCATCTCACAGATGAAACATGCTTGTAGGTGCTCAGGTCACACAGGGAGGAGCCATGCCCCGTCTCTCGGGCTCTAACTCTTTTCTGCCTTTGATGGATATTCCCTGTTTGTAAACTTTAAGGGGTATGTTTAACTTCTGATTAGGTCTCCACTCTTGACCCAGCCTGGCCTGGGGCCCTAGGCTGCCCTTGAAGGGCAGGAGGGAGGGAGCTTTCTGGGGGCCCTAACAGGGAGAGGCTCCCTATGTGCCCCACGGATCCCTGCTCCATTCCCTTCTCCCTCTTCAGGCCAGGATGTCATGAATCTCTTTTACACTCTGCCCTGCCCACGGGGTTACAGCCAGGGAGGACAAGGAGCAGGGCAGGGGCGTTCCACCCTGGAGCCACTTGTGACAGAACTGGACCAAGCCCTCTAAGTACTGTCCTTCAACAGTCTTTCTCCCAGCTCTCCTGCAGGGAGGGGACAGTCTTGCCCTTGAGGCCAAGGTCATCCCTGCCTCTAGGCCTTTTCCCTCCTGCCCAGCCAGACTCTGGCAGCAGTATGTGGAAAGGAAAAACAGTGGCAACTTCCTCTTCATACTACCACCCAAATAACTGTTATGACAACAACCCCACAGAACAGTTTGACAAAAAGCTTTAGCCCACTGGTGTGGCTCAGTGGTTGAGCGCCCACCTTATGAACCAGGGGGTCATGGTTCAATTCCTGGTCAGAGCACATGCCCGGGATTGTGGGCTCTACCCCGTTTGGGGCGTGCAGAAGGCAGATGATCCATGATTCTCTCTCATCATTGATGTTTCTATCTCCCTCTCCCTTCCTCTCTGAAATCAATAAAAAAATATTTTTTAAAAAAAGCTTTAGGCAAGAAGTGGGGAGGCATAGGTTCAAGTCATAGCTCTGCTGAATGGTCTTGAGATCCTGAGCAGGGCCTCTCGCTTGGCCTTAGTTTTTCTGCCTCTTCCCAACGTGGGTGAAGGCAAGTGATTGTGAGACCAGATGATCTAAGAGCCTTCCTAGTAATAATAGTCTGAGAATCTCAATCCATGACCAGGGATTTGGGACTGGGATCCCTGGGATTTTATCCTAGGGCCTGATTTGTCTTGAATGATAAGGAAGCCATACTGCAGCCTCGGGGCTGGGCCAGGAGTCTGATGTGTAGGTGTTAAGGGGAGGAGTGGGGAACCTGAATCCCTATGGGAAGAGAATTGGGTTGGAGTGGCCTCTGAGGCTGCATCTCTGCTGAGCTGTTTATCCCCCTTCTATTTCCAAAGAGATGGTGTGAAATGAGTATTATTTTTCTGGCAAAAAAAGCCTTTTTATTGATTTCAGAGAGGGAGGAAGAGAGATAGATGCATCAATGATGAGAGAGAATCATTGATCAGCTGCTTCTTGCGTGCCCCACACCAGGGATTGAGCCCACAACCTGGGCATATGCGCTTGACCGGAATCGAACCTGGGACCCTTCAGTCTGCAGGCTGGCGCTCTACCCACTGAGCCAAACTGGCTAGGGCTGGCAAGGATACTTGAATTGGAGGAGACACTGCTTTGTCTGGCTAAGTTCCACTAATTTTCAAGACTCTAAATGGAAATAGATACAATATATCTATTGCCTCTAAGATGGAATAGGTACAATACTAGTATATGATATGTTTAAAAGCCTTGAGAAATTAAGACAATTGGGGGAGAATTTGGTAATGACTTATTGACAACTATATAGCAAACTAAGCAAAACAGTAGTAGTAGTAGTAATATTATAACATGAGTAATACTAATATAACATATTATAACATTAATAATAACATATTCAATTGTCCTGTCAGGGAATTGAACCATGACCTCCTGGTTCATGGGTAGACGCTCAACTACTGAGCCACGCTGGCTGGGCAACGTATTATTATTCTAAGGAAAACATAAAGTTGTAAGAAATATAAGGTAACTATAGTAAACCACATGGCTTAGCTGTGATTGAATTTTAATAAGATAAACACTGAATAATTAATTTTATTGTATATAATGGGAATATGGGGAGATGGGAAAGGTGCCTGTATGGCAGAGGAATGGGGAGTAAATTGAAAGAGTTAAATCCTTAACCTATCGTGTGAGAAGTCAGTAGAAAATAGCTAAGACTTAAAAATTAGTAAGTAGCATGTTATTTGGAAATTAGAAGGTAAGTACCAAAATAAACAGCTAAAAAAATTAATAGTTGTCTCTGGAGTGTGGGATTTAGGACAATGATGGGAAACTGTTACTTTTCATAATAAATCTTGCAGAACTTTTTGCCTCTTTAATCTTTTTTTTTTTTTGCCTCTTTAATCTTTGACTATCTATTACTTTGACTAAAAATAACACTAAATAGAAGGAGCTTTGAAGTCGGGTGGCAGAACCAGGGGTTCCCGGGGAGGTATGCTAGAAGCGAAGCTAGGGAGATGGGCAAGAGCCATATTATGAAAGCCTTTGAATGCCAGCTGCTAAACTGTTTACATTTTATTCTCTAAGAGCAGTGCAAAGCCCATAAAGGCTCTTGAGCAAGGGAGGGACAGGTTCAAACTTGTGTTTGGGAAAGATGATTCAGTGCCTCTGAGCTGAAAGGGACCCTAGAGATTACCCAGTCCGTCAGACTTGCTCCCAGTACAAGCAGGGAGAGCAGTGTGTGGTGGAGGAAAGCACTAGTCAGAGGGACTCTGACCCCACGAAGCTCTAGCCAGCTCTTCCCTCCCTTAGTAATTGCTACCGGCACCCTGAAGTGACTGGGGGACCAGGTTAGCTCCCTCTTTACCCCTCAGCTCCTGTCTTCTTTTGGTCCAGTCTACCTCCCAATTAACAGCTGGCCTCCTGTCAGACTATTTGTTGGCTGTTTCTAAGTTTACTGGTGACTCTGGACCGGTTGTTTCAGGAGTTAGTAGTAATACCTATCTATGAAGTTCAAAGCTCAGTAGGATCAGATTTTAATATTGAACATTTACTGAGCCCTTACTCTGTGGCAGGCACCGTGCTGAGTACTTAATAGACAACATCTCAAAATTCTCACAGCCACCCTGTGAGGTGAGTGATTTAACGCTATTTTACAAACAAGGAAACCGAGCTCAAAGAAGATACGAAAGTTGGCTATAGTGGTGTTGACAATCAGTGGTAGAGGTGAGGTTTTAAAACAGTAATCTGTCTGCTTCTAAGCCCACACTCGAAGGGAGAGGAATAGAGAGTTAGAAACATCGATGAGAGAGAAACATCGATCAGCTGCCTCCTGCACACCCCCCACCGGGGATGTGCCTGCAACCAAGGTACATGCCCTTGACCGGAATCGAACCTGGGACCCTTCAGTCCGCAGGCCGTTGCTCTATCTACTGAGCAAAACCGGTTAGGGCGTGAGCTGAGGTTTTAAAACAGTAATCTGTCTGCTCCTAAGCCCATACTCCAAACCCTCTGTTTCCATCCTTTTTTTTAAAAAAAACAAAACCTTTTTTTTTTTTTACTGATTTTTAGAGAGAGAGGAAGAGAGAGAAACACTGATATGAGAGTGAAACATCTATTGATCAGCTGCCTCCAGCAAGCCTCCCAATGGGGATCAAGCCTCCACCCCGGGCATGTGCCCTGATAGAATCAAACCTGGCAACCCTTTGGTGCATGGGACAATGTCCAGCCAACTGAGCCACACCAGCCAGGGCTCCCTGCTTCTTGAGAGTGAAACATAGTTGGTTGGACCACAAGGTAGGGGTCTCTGGAAACATTTGGGAAATGCATGGCCCAGAACCGGAACTGATTCCTTCTCCCACTCCCCCAGGCTTACCTGCGAGCCATTGACGTGAAGATCCTACAGCAGCTGCTGACTTTGAATGAGGGCATTGAGGCGCTCCGCTGGCTGTTGGAAGAACGGGGGACATTGACCAGCCACTGCAGCAGCCTCACCAGCAGTCAATATAGTCTGACAGGTGGGAGCCCAGGCCACTCAAGGAGAGGCAGCTGGGACAGCCTGCCAGACATCAGCTCCACTGACCAGCTGGACAGTGTCTCCATTGGCAGCTTCCTGGACACCGTGGCACCCCCTGAGCTGGATGAACCGGGCAACCTTAGGGCTCCCCATCCTGAGATGGACTGGGCAAAGGTTCTACCTGGTGGGGAGAGGGCCAGGACTCAGTTGGACCTGACAGCCACCAAGCTAGGGAACTTGAGGGCTGTGTGGAAGCCCCCAGAGGAGGGGCTCCAAGGTGGACCTCCTGAACCACCAGAGGATGAAAATGCCGAGCTGGGCTTTGAGGTCCACTGGTACTGGGGGCAGTGCCAGGATGATGTGACCTTCCTGTAACAACATTTCCACCCTTTTGTTCTGCTGTGGCTCTTTCTTCACTAGGCCCTAGTCTCCCTTGAAATTTATTCTCTCTCAATTTGGGACTAGGAAGAGGCTGCATTGAAATCAGTTAACATGGAAATCTGGCCTCACCATCTCTTTGGTCCTTGGCGAAGCTGTGCCTCTATCCCTCAACTATTGGGGATATATATATATATATATATATATATAGAGCTATATATATATTTTTTCCATAGACATATTAACTCTAGAGCAGGGGTAGGAAACCTTCAGCCTATGGTCCGCATAAGGAAATCATTTGGTTTGGCCCTGCCAAGGCATTAGGGATGAGTTAACTAAATGTTTGACCAAGTATAGCAGGCTAATATTTAAGTTGATAATTTTGTATGGCCTGTGAATAATATTATAAATATCCAAATGGCCCTTGGCAGAAGTTTCCCCACCCCTGCTCTTGAGGGTGTGATGGTCTCTCTTTCCTTTTCCTCCATAACTACGTAAGGATTTGAAGGATTTAGGGCCCTTAGGAGGTCACTCATGAAGAGATGTGAGAATAATGGCTTCACTCAATGTCTAAGAGCCTTGGCTGTCTTCCCCCCTCCCTCTCCCTCAAACCTTGGCCAAGATGGATGGCTGTGGAGGGATATGGTCACTCAGGGCCAACCCTAGTAACCTTTGGGGTTGGTAGAACCACGGTTTCCTGTTTGGTGAGTGATGTCATTGCCTGCCAGGATGGATTAGCCTTTCCACTGAACCAGTCCTTTGGTGGTAATAGGTCAGTATAGCGGTATCCGAACCCCTGTATCCGAACCCCTGCTGCTAAGTGAGACCATGCCATTTATTCTCCAAACCATTACTTCTTGTGAGGGGGAACATACCACCCCTCCTCACTGTCAGATATTTACGCTTCTTTTCAGAAAGGTTCATACTTTTTAAACAGGGTTATTCTCATTTCATCCTAGGGGCTCTCGCTTCCTCTGTAACCACATCCCTGCCTGGTGCCAGCACTCCTATATCTGTGCTTTTAGGGAGGGAAACTGGCAAGGGCCTCCACCTACCGCTCTCAAAAGTCCTGCCATAGTCAGTTCGTGTTTTACCCTGTCCCTGGGTTGTCCCCATTCTTGTATTCTGGCTCCAAATCTGTCTGCCAGGAGGTTCAGCCTTTGTGTCTCCACACCTTCTCAGTTTCCACTTCCACTTCAGGCCTCGGGCCTTTTATATGCAGATGAGTCCCCATTGCTTAGGGAGGACAAGCTTGAGGTCTCAGAGCTCTGGAGGTGTACCAGAATCTCCAAAGGGAGGAGGTGTCTTCTTTTCTAACCCCGTGATTCCCCCTCCCCCACCTTGCCCCGACCCTCTACCATTAGATCAAAAGGACCTGCCCAGAGACTGGGACACAGGAATCCCCTTGTTTGAATTACAATGGGGGGTGTGGTGTGGCAGGGAAAGACAGAGGCTCTTTAGTCCTAGGGCCCACATCCCGAGGAGGAGGGAGAGATTGAGGGAAAGGCCACTTTCCTTCCTCCCTTAGAGCAAGCCCTAGGCTCCTAGGACCTGAGGAGGGAGCAGGGGACTGGCTCAGGGCCTGGGTCCCAGGGCCCTAAAGAATTGCACCAAAGAAGGAATTCAGGGAAGCTGCCAACCTGAGGCTCAGGGAGGGGACAAGGAGACAAGGGTTGATGTCAAAGAATGAACTCTTGGAAATTAACCCTTTGAACCCCAGGTAACTGCCCATAAGTCGGTCCCTATCTTTCCTGGGCCCTGAAACTAGATTATTGGAAGGCGAAAAGGATATCAGGTGATCTTTGCCTATTTGCTCCTGAGTTGTAGGAGTCATCCCCAAATCCTAGAATAACTGCTGCAATTTCTCTACTTTTCATTCTATGCTGGAGAAGGGAAGGAAGCCAGGTTGATCATCTCCACTTCCCCTAAACTCCTCAATTCTTATTCTGCACCCCCACCCCAATCATTGTGGGACAATACATTCAGTCCATGGCTGTCCCCTAAAGACCCTCTCTCCTCCTCCCATCCCCTCAATGTGATTGATATCACTAAAATATATTCTTGGCCTCTCCTCTGCTGCCCACCAGCCCTCCCCTTACCACCCCTCCTGGTCTTGGGGCTCCTGACCCCCTACCCCCACCCCCGGGGCTGGAAATTCAAATACCCTTTTCTAATTCCTACTCTGTTGCCATTTTGTAGTGTGCCCTTGGGGAACTGCTTTGTATTCCTTTTTGAAGCTTGCTTATTTGTTTAGTCTACAAACTTCTGAGCTGAAGAAGTTGCCCGCCACCTTGTGGTCATTATGCACCACTGCCATGAGTGGCTGGCGGGAACCTCCAAATCCAAACACAGCCTGACAGAAGACCAGCCCCTTCAGAGCACGGACAGACTGGAGAGACAGGCCTAGAGAGTCAGAGACTTGCCCAGTGTCATCCACGGCAATGCCCAGGTTAGAGAACCCAGGTGTCTCCCGCCTGCTTGCCTGCCCACAGTTCTATCACTTGGTTAGACTGTTCCTCCACCTCACCCAGTTAATACACCCAAGCCTAAAGGGACTGAAAGCAATTTTTCCCTATTTTATTTTTAAAAATATATTTCTTTATTGATTTCAGAGAGGAAGGGAGAGGGAGAGAGAGAGAGAGAGAGAGAGAGAGAGAGAGAGAGAGAAACAACGATGATGAGAGAGAACCATTGATGGGCTGCCTCCCGCACGACCCCCACTGGGGATGGAGCCCACAACCCCGGGCATGTGCCCTTGACCAGAATCGAACCTGGGACCCTTCAGTCCGCAGGCTGATGCTCTGTCCACTGAGCCAAACCGGCTAGGGCAATTTTCCCCTATTTTAATATTTGGGTACTCAACCTAAAGAGGCAGCTCAGTGTTTAGAAAAGGCTATAGGCTCTGAGGAAAGAGAACCTTGGACCTGGATTGGGTAAAAGGTACACGAACCTGGACTGCAGATATAAGGGAAATCAATCCTGGACCATTTTTCTGGGAATGGAGGGTGAGTAGGGCCGAAAATCATGGGGTCAAAATTCCACTCGGCGGAGGTTAGAAGTGGGGTCTGGGGTGGAGAGGTTTGAGATTAGGAAATCCAGATGGGTCCTACGGAGTTGGGGGCTCCATATGTCAGGGTATTACAAGGAAATGTGACTCTTTTTTAAGTGGGTAATTAGGTAATTTGAAACATTTAATTCTTAGCAATCCTATAAGCAATACATTATTATCAATGTATTGTTGCTTAGACATTTGCTCAGGTAGTAATATAAGTAATAAATGAATGGTAATATGAACCTAGTTCAGTTTGATGGCAGGGGCTCAACTGGATAGGCATGTGAGGGTGTTGAGGAGCTGGAGAGGTTCGGTGAGTTGGGATGCCTGGGCACTCCAGGTAGGTCTGGGCATCCTATCTTAATATCTTATACCCTATTTCACTAGCAGAGAAGTTCAGGAACCCAGGGAACACAAATCCTTGTTCCCTCCTACCAGCCTTTGGACCTGCTGTTTGAGACTTAGCTCTCCTGTTAACTTAGACCTTCCTAGCTAGCTAGGAGAAAGAGAAGGGAGGGAAGGGGGGGAGGTAAGAGAGAATGAGATGGAAGGGGAATGCTACAAGTATGAGAGGGAGCATACTGTCCTCCAAGTGGGCCCGAGGCTTTTGTCAGGGCTCATGATAAAGGCAGAGATGCACTTGCTCTTGGCAACTGCAGAAATAGTGCCTGAGAGGATCAGGGGTGGTGCTGACTGGAATGGGTACATCATGAAGACACGAGACCACGTGAGTGGACAAGTGTAAGGGCCTGCGTTTAGGATGGGGGCAGTGAGGTTGAGCACTGGACTGACTGGAAGCTCAGTGGCACCTTAGGTGAGAAATGCTTGGGGCTTGTTGTAGACACAAGCCCACTGTGCATGGTGCCAGGCACACACTGGGTGTTCAGTGACACCTGTTGACTGAATGGAGGAATGAATGTGTATAAACCCACAAGGAGATGTGACTTTTTTAAGTGGGTAATTAGGATTAGGTAAGAGGTAATTTAAAACATTATTTAATTCTTAGCAACCCTATAAACAATGCATTATTAACAATGTATTGTTGCTTAGACATTTGCTCAGGTAGTAATAGAAGTAATAAATGAATGGTAATATGAACCTAGTTCAGTTTGATGGCAGGGGCTTCTAGGAGATCTACCTCTCCACTTCCCACTCTCACAAACCTCACTTTCCTAGGAGAACAGATTTGTGCTGCCCAGCATACTAGTTTCCTATTGCTGCTGTAATGAATTACCATAAACTTAATTGCTTAAAATAACACAAATGCGTTAGCTTACAGTTCTGGAGGCCACAGCTCTGAAATCAGTTTCATTGGGCTAAATTAAAAGTCAAAATGTTGCCAAGCTTGCATACCTTCTGGAGTCTCTAGGGGAGAATCCGCTTCTTGGCCTTTTCCAGGTTCTAGAGGCGGCTTGCATTCCTTGGTTCATGGCCCCTTCCTCCATCATCAAGCCAGCAGCATAGCATCTTCACTCCTCGGCCCTCTGCTTCCATCCTTCTCTAATTCTCCTGTTTCCTCTTATGGGAATTACATTCTGATTACATGTCTTTGTAATTAGATTGGGTCCACTGAGACAATCCAGAATCATCTCCCCACCTCAAGATCTTCAACCATATCTTCAAAGTCCCTTTTGGCATATAAGCTAAGATACTAACAGGTTCTGGGAATAGGACATGAACATCAACCACAGGCAGAGATGGAAGGTGGGCAGAAGGATGCACCCAGGACCAGAATGAGCCTCTATGCTTTGTCCAGCCTCCCTTAGGCTGGTGCCAAGGGAGACAGGTCCAGGCTCCATGTCTGGAGAATAGCAAGTGCCTCCTGAATCATCACTACCAGGAAGAGGTGAGAATGAAGGTCTCAGTTTAGGGAACTTTTCAGGCCTGAAATTCTCCTGCTGGACAACTCTGTCTTCAACATTGCCTCCTCTCCAGAAACATTCTGTACTCCTCAAGGCAGAAGATAATTACCATCAAACTAGCCAAGGCTCTCTCTGGAAAGGGTAGATTTTTCTCCTTCTTAAAAAAAAAAAAAGATTGATTTTAGATAAAGGGA